ATAATCAGTAACTCCCCCCAGATTAAAAAAAGCCCCATGAGAGGAGAGGGGCCAGCTGGGAGATCCCCCCCAGAAAAAGACACCTCCCCTGTTTTCTCTTTAGAATAAATGCCTCAAAATAATGACACCCCCACCACCCACATACTTTGTGGAAAATGAACTACTACCCTCAGACCCGAGCTATATAGAATGGATACATTTCTGATTCACACATCTTTAGTCTGGGCTCTCACTCTCATCACATAAGTCTTAGTTTAAGTTCTAAACAGTAATTCAGTTTGAGCATAAAGCTGGTCTGATGCAATGAATACTGAGTTGAAACTGAATGAAATCTTAATGTATTTTATCCCTTACTATGTTTGCCTGCAATGTTATGCTTTAAAAAAAATTAAATAACATTTCTAGAAAGAAAAAAGTAACCCTAACCCCCCAAAAAAAACAGTCAGAAAAAGAAGAGGGTGGGGTGGCACCTGAGGACATCCCCCCCAAAAAAGAAAAAGACCCCTCCCCCATTTCATCTTTAGAATAAACGCCTCAGAATCATAACTCTTTTCTCTTTAGAATAAACGCCTCAAAATAATAAGTGACACCCCCACCACCCACATACTTTGTGGAAAATGAACTACTACCCTCAGACCCAAGCTATATAGAATGGATACATTTCTGATTCACACATCTTTAGTCTGGGCTCCCATCACATAAGTCTTAGTTTAAGTTCTAAATAGTAATTCAGTTTGAGCATAAAGCTGGTCTGATGCAATGAATACTGAGTTGAAACTGAATGAAAAATGTATTTTATCTCTTACTACGTTTGCCTGCAATGTTATGCTTTTTTAAAAATTAAATAACGTTTCTGGAAAGGAAAGAAAAAAGTGACACCCCCCCCCAAAAAAGGCAGAAAAAGAAGAGGGTGGGGGGGCACCTGAGGACATCCCCCTCCCCCCAAAAAAGAAAAAGACCCTTCCCCCATTTCCTCTTCAGAAGAAACACCTCGGAATCATAACTGACCCCCCCAAACAGTCAGAAAAGGGGGAGGGCACCTGAGAATACCCCCCCTCCACCCAAGAAAAAGACCCCCTCCCCCATATTCTCTTCAGAATAACTGACAGCCCCTCAACACCCCCCAAAAGCCTCAGAATCATAACTGACCCCCCCAAGCAGTCAGAAAAGGAAGGGGGGAGGGGGCACCTGAGGATACCCCCGCCTCCCCCCAAGAAAAAGACTCCCGTTTCCTCTTCAGAAGAAACACCTCAGAACCATAAGTGACCCCCCCAAACAGTCAGAAAAGGGAGGGGGGGCACCTGAGGATACACCCCGCCTCCCCCCAAGAAAAAG